TTTGGGCGCATTCCATATCAACTCTTCAGTATGTATAATGTTTAATATATTACAAAAAGAGTGGCTCATTGAAAGTGTAACCATAATTCACTGGTCCTTGAGCTGAAAAGGAATCCTAGAGCTGTTGTAATCTGACATAGACAACTGTGTATTCCCAACAAAACAATTTTCCTACTAAAACAGTCAGGCCTGTACAACAGTGTTGTTGTTGTTGTCCCTCAGGAGAATGTGATCAACTACCCTGCAGTGGACCGCCTTTGGTCAGCACTTTTTAATTGTCCACTCCAGACTTTTTCCCAAAACAAAGGGCAATAAACCCAGCCTCGTCCCAACCACTGGTTTGGAGATAATTCATGTTCTTTCTTGACCTCTCTGACACAGTCCAATTTCACAAGTGCCTGAATGGGAGTTGGGATTGAGTCCCAAATGGCAACTGGGAGTTAGGCCTACAGTCGTGGTCAAAAGTTTTGAGAATGACACAAATACTAATTTTCACAAAGTCTGCTGCCTCAGTTTTGATGATGGCAATTTGCATATACTCCAGAATGTCATGAAGAGTGATCAAATTAATTGCAATTAATTGCAAAGTCCCTCTTTGCCATGAAAATTAACTTAATCCCCAAAAAACCTTTCCACTGCATTTCAGCCCTGCCACAAAAGGACCAGCTGCCATCATGTCAGTGATTCTCTCGTTAACACAGGTGAGAGTGTTGACGAGGACAAGGCTGGAGATCACTCTGTCATGCTGATTGAGTTAGAATAACAGACTGGAAGCTTTAAAAGGAGGGTGGTGCTTGAAATCATTGTTCTTCCTCTGTTAACCATGGTTACCATGGTTGGGGCGGCAGGTAGCTTAGTGGGTAAGAGTGTTGTGCCAGTAACCGAAAGGTCGCTGGTTCTAATCCCCGAGCCGACTAGGTGAAAAATCTGTCGATGTGCCCTTAAGCAAGGCACTTAACCCTAATTGCTCCTGTAAGTCGCTCTGGATAAGAGCGTCTGCTAAATGACTAAAATGTAAATGTTACCTACAAGGAAACACGTGCCGTCATCATTGCTTTGCACAAAAAGGGCTTCACAGGCAAGGATATTGCTGCTAGTAAGATTGCACCTAAATCAACCATTTATCGGATCATCAAGAACTTCAAGGAGAGAGGTTCAATTGTTGTGAAGAAGGCGTCAGGGCGCCCAAGAAAGTCCAGCAAGCGCCAGGACCATCTCCTAAAGTTGATTCAGCTGCAGGATCAGGGCACCACCAGTGCAGAGCTTGCTCAGGAATGGCAGCAGGCAGGTGTGAGTGCATCTGCACGCACATTGAGGAGAATACTTTTGGAGGATGGCCTGGTGTCAAGAAGGGCAACAAAGAAGCCACTTCTCTCCAGGAAAACATCAGGGACAGACTGATATTCTGCAAAAGGTGGACTGCTGAGGACTGGGGTAAAGTAATTTTTCCGATTGTTTGGGGCATCCAGAAAACACCTTGTCCGGAGAAGACAAGGTGAGCGCTACCATCAGTCATGTGTCATGCCAACAGTAAAGCATCCTGAGACCATTCATGTGTGGGGTTGCTTCTCAGCCAAGGGAGAGGTCTCACTCACATTTCTGCCTAAGAACACAGCCATGAATAAAGAATGGTACCAACACATCCTCCAAGAGCAACTTCTCCCAACCATCCAAGAACAGTTTGGTGACGACCAATGCCTTTTCCAGCATGATGGAGCACCTTGCTATAAGGCAAAAGTGATAACTAAGTGGCTTGGGAAACAAAACATCCACATTTTGGGTCCATGGCCAGGAAACTCCCCAGACCTTAATCCCATTGAGAACTTGTGGTCGATCCTCAAGAGGCGGGTGGACAAACAAAAACCCACAAATTCTGACAAACTCCAAGCATTGATTATGCAAGAATGGGCTGCCATCAGTCAGGATGTGGCCCAGAAGTTAATTGACAGCATGCCAGGGCGGATTGCAGAGGTCTTGAAAAAGAAGGCTCAACACTGCAAATATTGACTCTTTGCATAAACGTAATGCAATTGTCAATAAAAGCCTTTGACAGTTATGGAATGCTTGTAATTATACTTCAGTATACCATAGTAACATCTGACAAAAATATCTCATAACACTGAAGCAGCGAACTTTGTGAAGGCCAATACTTGTGTCATTCTCAAAAAATTTGACCACGACTGTATAGTGCACTATAGAGGGAATAGGGTGCCATTTGGGACACAACAAGGGACTGTAGCCTACAGTTGGAATTGTGAGATGATTGGCCAGTTGAACCGAGTGCCAAAAGGAGTTTCCTCATCTGGCTAATTGAACCAAAACAAGCTTTCTTCTTTCGTCTTGCGTCGTTTATTATATATTTTTTCTGTATTTCTTACTATAAAACAGTTTGTTTTGGTTTAAAAGCAAATCTTTTTTATTTTGTTTATTTTACTGTAAAGTGTGTAGATATGTTTAAATGCTCCTTAAGGGCCCTATTCAATCTGTATCGCTGAATCATTACAGATAGGGAGCTAGACATTTAAAGGTCATTTCCTATTGAGCTGGCATCTGCAGCATTTGCTGTGAATGTAGTCTCCGCCAACGCTGGAACCTTTACATCTCAATCATGCTGTAACACTGAATATCTGCATTGCGGTTTGAATAGAGCCCTAAATAAAGTTGCATTTGATTTGGTTTTATTTGTTCCAGTGCCCTTATGTTATAAAAATTGTTAAAATGACATTGTCAAAGGCTTAATTAATAGTTAATTTGACGAGGTGTAAACGCTTAAATGTCATTCAAGAATGCAATCTTTTCAGAATGGTCTAGGCCTATGTACTCCATCATACCAATTGTTAATTTCTAAAACATAGATCAAGATAGCAGCAGGAAAAAGGAACAATTTAAATGTCAACACAACTTGCAGATATAAGACAGAATATTGTTCTGTTAGTTAGCAGTTTGAATGCTCCTGCTGGTCTCTGTGCAATGCAGTGGAGCTATATTACCACCTAGTGGCGTGTAGATGGTCAGTAAGGTCTACATGGGGTTTTGTTTTCCCTTGGTGTAGCAGAGCTGTCCAACCCTCTTCCTGGAGATCTAGCGTCCTGTAGGTTTTCAGTCCAACCCTAACCTAACATACCTGATTCAGCTAGCTAAGATCATGGTGAGCAGCTAATATGTAGAATTGTGCTAAATTAGGGTTGTTCTGAAAACCTGTAGGATGGTAGATCTCCAGGAAGAGGTGTGGGCAGCCCTAGTGTAGTGAATGAGTGGTGTTACCTGGGAATTCATGACCCTTAGTAAGAATATAATATGGTAATTTAGCAGAAACTTTAATCCAAAGTGATTTAAAGTTAACACATACTGTATTCCATATTGGGTAACACTTTATTGAAGGGTACCAACATAACGACTTCATAACACATTCATAATCCATACATAATAATTTACAAAGCAGTACAAGGCTAACCACAATTATTTTCAGACCCATAACCCTGACCCTAGTGTCATAAGCACTATGCTCCAACCATTCACGCTGTGACATTTGTGATGCGGTCCCTCCTGGGGTTATACAATGAAGTGGTCCAAGTCTACAGATCTCAGATCTGTTTTGCTTTTTAGCCCTAAGAAAGGGTTAGTATGAGGGAAGCTGATCACATCCTGCCTGATGTTCCCCATCAGACCTGGGATTTGAACTGGCAATCCCCTTCCATAAACCTGCATACTCATTGGGAACCCAGGACAGTGGTTGACAAACTCTGTTCTTATAGATTCTCTTACTGGTTCTGGTCTAGAGAGAGCTCAGAACTACCCCTTCTGTGCTCCCCAGCAGTACCAAAAACTCACTCGCGCGAGGTAGAAGTCTCCTTTAACCACAGTTCTAGGATCAGATTACCCAACTGCAAATCCTAACTTTAACCATCGGGATTAAAGATAATATCTGACCCTGAACTAGCACTCCGGCCTCTTCTAGCAGGTGGTGGTTATAGTGGCCCATTTATTTTTAGCCGTCCTCATGGGGGAACACAATGATATGCAAAGCCAGCATATCCGCCGCTGCTTTCATCCACTGTGAGCCTCATAGTCCCTTTGACCTTCTGAGAGACACTGGCTAGGGGAGGCAGGTGCAGGGGACTTGAAAGTGCTGGGGGTCAAAGTGCACAGGAAGTGTTGTGTTCAAAACACTGGGCTCTGTTGTGAAAATGGAATGGAGAGGGGGCTACAGAGCTTAAGGGGTATGTATGCGTGTGTTAGTCTGACTTTGTGTGGATGTAGTTTATTGGAAGTATAGTTAATTTACTTTCTATGAATATCAAAACCCTCTTATGTAACTTCACGAGGTTGATTACACCAAAAGTCTTAAAGCTGCAAGACATTCAACAGTAAGTTATGAATAACACAACAAAAATCGAATTTATAATGTGACACTGTGTAGGTAACATGGATAGACAAATAAATGTGGTAGCTTATTAGGTATGTGCATTCACACAATAACTATTGAATATAAGTTTCACTCCATACAGTACGTATATTATTCACTTCTACTTGAAGAAATAAAAAGCACCAAGGTTAAAATACCATTTTTCATTACATTTTACATTTTATATTTTCATCAAGGGTGAAATCAAGTGAGAGCACCATTGTAACAAAATGCAAGATTTCCTGTTCAAACAAGTCCGGATGACACGTTCTGCATTGAAATAGAATGCCAGATCTGTCATGCTCCTTCAATCCATTTTCTTTGTATGTGGGGTTTGTTTGGAACGTTCGGTGGCTTACCACATAGTTTCCTAAACGTTTGTGTGTAAACCAAAATGTAAAAGAATAAGGATTAAATCTGCATTGATTCAGGATGTGGTAAACTCATATGATGAGCTTTGTCAATCCTTTATTACAATTAGCTGCATGTAATCTTATGGAATTCACCTTTATCCAAACACAATCACATGCATAAAGAGAATGTTAACAACTCTGCAGTATTGAATTCCATGCCAGTGTCCTTATTGTGCTATGGATCACTCCTCATGGTTTAGGAAGTTGACAAGTCTTCCTGCTAGGGGTAAGGTGCTGATCTGCCTCAGTCTGTGGACTCCCACCTGTTGTCGGATCTTCAGCCTGCACAACTGCATAAGGCTCCGTGGGGGCACTGTTGAATAAAGGATTGGCATGCACAACTATAGGTTCTCCATAAGAAAATGTTTAGGTACAGTGTTATAAAAGCAAATGGAAGACGGAAAATCCTGTACTCACTAGGAAATGTCTTAGGGCAACATTGTCCTGTTGCAAAGCCACCTGCGCTGTGAGCTAAGTGAAATTATAATCTGCAGCGCGATTTATGTTGTAACTTTGCTTAAACAATTTCCGCGAGGGGGAACTTTAGGAAAATGTCACCCTTAAATGTCCTTTTTGACACATTTGAAGGTTGTTGCAAACTTGTGTAAATATATCTAACCTGTTTATACAGAGTTGGACCCTGATGAAAAAGGTACTCACTCGATTTCTCCTTGATACAGGCCCAGTCCTCGTAGCTGTCCAGATGTTCAGTGAGTCTGGAGCACAGCTGTACATTACCCACGTAGTCTAGAAGTGCATCTATGATGGGTCCTGCCCAATGACGTATTGAGGGACTGGAGATAATGTCACAGAACTGACAGTAGAGTAGAAAAAGGAATCACGTAATGCTATACATAATGCATTTAGAACCATAAAGCCACAAGATGTCGCAAATCTAACGGCAATTGAGTTATTTTAATTCTGTGGTAAAACTGCTCCCTAGTCTCTGGTTTTGGGGGGCCAGTGCAGTGGTTACTGTTACCACCAAATTTAAATAAACCAGTGGCCAACTTGATCTCACAACAAACGCAGAATTATAAGAGCCTGAGAATCGCTCATAATCTCTGAATCCCAAAACGACAGATATTTACATGCAAGGGCAACAGGTTAAGTTGAGGCATGCTGGTGAGTGGTTAGGGGAAGGTTATACTTTAGCGTGCGAGTGAGTGGTTAAGGTAAGGGTTAGAAAACAAAAACAGTAAAAAACCAAATGTGCCTGGATTCAAACTATTGACATTCCCACATCGACCACCCCCAACCAACCACTTAGCACGTAATTTCCTGTTCTGACTCTTGCCACAAAAACACTTGCCCAAACATATTTTCTCGCAGACCAAAAAATAACCATAATCTTTCTGCTAATCCCACCTACCTGCACACCGGGCTCCTCGTGGCAGAGACCCAGGTCATCCTTGTATACATTCCTCATCGGTGGGTGTGGTTTGGTGCCATGCTCACACTTGAAACAGGATAGGGCGTCACAGCCGTTGTCCATGAGGTACTTGAGCAGAGACAGATACTTCATACAGAACATGACACTTGCCGGGAACGAGGTGGGGTGAGTTGGGATTTTAACATTGACGTCTGCCCTGTGCTCCACCAGTAAGCACATCATCTGGACACAACCCTGCCTAACGGCCACCAGTAGCGGGTTGAAGATGTCCAGGTTGGGGTTGGCGCCAGCCTTAAGAAGCATGGCGGCAGCATCAACGTTGCTGTTGGTGACTGCGAAATAGAGTGCAGTGGTTCGTCGATCCTGGTATATGGAAGAGCGGTCGGTGGACAGCTTGGCATTGACGTCGAAGTCTGCCTCGATCAGAACCTCCAGGGTGTTGTCTTTGTTGTGTTCGGCGGCCAGGTGGAGGGGACTGATGCCACTGAGTCGCACTCTGGACTTGCTGGTGACTTGGATCAGTCTGGACACAATCCTGGATAGAGAAAGCATAGGGAATAGTCGACGGGATAGGAGATTAGGGAAGAGGTCCAAAGAATCCTAGTGTGGTTAGGTGAAGGTCTACAGCACATTCTGCTTTGTCTAACAATAACTTTTGGTTCACTACTGTAGGTACAGACCACATCATCAACATAAATATATTTGAGATATTTTAATGCAGGAAAAGGTTACAAGGTATGAATGCAGAATGACGTCATGCAGGCATGAGCTCGAGCTTGGAATGAGGTTGGATGATTGTTAGGTGGTTGTAGAATTAAAGCTTCTTGGTAGGCATCGTGAGAGGTGGTGTCGCATTATTGAGAGGACGACTCTGGATGACTGAAGGAGCGTGACAGTTTGGGATGGTTGAAGAAGCTTGATGGTTCAGGATGGTTGAAGGATCTTGATAGATCGGGATGGTGGAAGGATCTTGAAAGTTCAGGATTGTTGAAGGATCTTGATGGTTCAGGATGGTTGATGGAGCTTGATGGTTCAGGATGGTTGAAGGAGCTTGATGGTTCATGATGGTTGAAGGAGCTTGATGATTCAGGATGGTTGATGGAGCTTGATGATACAGGATGGTTGAAGGAGATTGATGGTTCATGATGGTTGAAGGAGATTGATAATTCAGGTTCAGGATGTTGGTTGCTTGGTCATCAAAGGATCGGGAGGGGGAGATGAAGAAAGTGTTGGGGTGGAAGTCCTGGTGGTCTCTGCCTCTCGGCCCAGAGTTAATCCCCAAAGAGGAAGGGTCAGGACTCCCGAGACGTCCGAGAACAGAGCGGCATGAACGTGTCAGAGGGCTTGATGGTTTGAATGGATAGATAGTAGTTCTGATGGCCTGAGTGTCCAGAGGTCGGGGGTAGATGATATGGATGGTAAATGTCTGAGCTGAGATGGGAATAGAGGTGACGCAGAAAGAGGAAGAGCAGTCCTCTTACAGCATTTGGTGGTAAAAATTATGGCGTAATCTTGAGCTCGGATCTTGTAGTTAGAAGAATTACTGAGGAAGAATGTTTTTTGTGTAGCATTGTTTGGATATGGAAAACAATGTCTGTAGGGGCAGAGAGAGCATCCATCCCTGAGCCAGAGCTGGGATAGGCAGGGGATGGAGAGAGGGAGGGAAGGCTGAAGCCTTGGTGGTGGCAGCAGCCATGCCCAGGAGATTGGAAGGAAGATTTTCCCTTTGTGAATGTGAAGGCTGCTTCGAATGCAAGGTCGTAAGCTGTGGAGACCAGGTTGAAGTCTTTTGTGGCCGATTCTGAGGATTCAGGGGCTGCGGCCGAGTTGGTGGTGGTGGAATGAATATCAGGCAGTGGAGGCGGCAGGGAACGTCATCCCTCGTGAGGGTGGTGTCGTCGGGCAGTGGGCAAAATGGGTGGAGGTGGATGTAGCTTGTCATGGACCAACAACACCACCACTCTTGTCAAGAAGACGCAAAAGGTGGCTGAAGAAATGTGGCATGCCACCACGGGTCCTCTCCAAATACTACCGCTGCATCATCGAGATCTTCCTGACCGATTGCATCACGGTCTGGTACGGGAATTGCTCAGTCCACAACCGCAAGGCCCTCCAGCGGGTGGTGAAATCGGCCCAGTACATCACTGGGACCGTGCTCCCATCCATCCAGGATATCTTACCAACCGGTTCTGGCACCGTGGCACCAGAGCCAGACCGAGGCTCCTGCGGTGGATGACTGGTTTCGGTGCGCGGAGGAGACGTAGGCCAACGCTGACCGTCACCGCAGTGTGGCCCCGGTCTTCATACCGGGGGATCGGGTCTGGCTCTCGACCCAGAATCTGCCCCTCTGCCTGCCCTGCCGGAAGCTGAGCCCATGGTTTGTGGTGCCATTCAAAGTCCTGAGGAGAATCAACAAGGTCACGTATAGGTTATTACTTCCCCCTGATTACCGTATTAACCCCTCGTTTCATGTGTCTCTCCTTAGGCCGGTGGTAGTTGGTCCGCTCCAGGAGTCTGAGGTGCGGGAGATTCCTCCACCTCCTCTGGACATCGAGGGGGCCCCGGCGTACTCTGTCTGCTCCATCCTGGATTCGAGGCGTCGGGTGGGGGGCCTTCAGTACCTCGTGGAGTGGGAGGGGTACGGTCCGGAGGAACGGTGCTGGGTCCCGGAGAGGGATATCCTCGATCCCTCCCTGTTGCGGGATTTCCAGCGTCGCCATCTGGCTCGCCCTGCTCCACGTCCTCCTGGCTGTCCCCGAGGCCGGGGTCGGCGCGCTGCTGGAGCTGCGCGTCAATGGGGGGGTACTGTCACGACTTCGGCCGAGGCTGCCTCCCCTCCTTGTTCGGGCAGGCTTCGGCGTTCGTCGTCACTGGCTTACTAACCACTGCCGCCCCAATCACATTTGTCTTGTCTTGTTAATCACAAACACATGGTTCTAATCCCCTCATTAGTTTGTGTATAAGTGTTCCCTCTGCCCCCTTGTCCTTGTGGGTGATTGTTAGTTGTGAGAGTAGTATAGCTCGGTGGAGCTACTCGTACATTTTGTTGCTAGGGTAGATTTTCCCCTGTGCCTATGTATTATTGGATTCTACCGTTACAGTGTATTTGCCAGGGATGAGAGTTTCCCCTGTGCCTGTTTCGTTGATCGCTATTTGAGCGCATTTATGTGTCAACGAAGGAACTCTGTATTCTGTGATTACCCTCCTGTGCCTGACTCCTTTCATCACACTCATCACAGAGTGACCCTGGACAATACTTAATTAAATAAATTGCATAATAAAAGTGCCAACAGCAGCGCTTTTATCCACAATCAGTGGTGGAAAAAGTACCAAATTGTCATACTTGAGTGTAAGTAAAGAAATCTTAATAGATAAAGACTCAAGTAAAAGTGAAAGTCACCCAGGAAAATATCACTTGAGTAAAAGTTAAAAACTTTTGATTTTAAATATACTTAAGTATCAAAAGTAAATGTAATTGCTAAAATATACTTATGTATCAAAAGTAAAAGTATAAATAATTTCAAATTCCTTATATTAAGCAAACCTGACGGCACAATTATTGTATTTTTTTCATTTACGGATAGCCAGGGACACACTCCAACACTCAGACATAATTTACAAACAAAGCATTTGTGTTTAGTGAGTCTGCCAGATCAGAGGCAGTAGGGATGGCCTGGGAAAATCTCTTGATAAGTGTGTGAATTGGACCATTTTACTGTCCTGCTAAGCATAAAAAATGTAACTAGTACTTTTCGGAGTCAGAGAAAATGTATGGCGTAAAAAGTACATTATTTTCTTTAGGAATGAGGTGGAGTAAAAGTAAAAGTTGTCAAAAATGTAAATAACAAAGTAGTAATTAAAATTGTTTTTACTTAACTACTTTACACCACTGTCCACAATGACACTTAACATGAATGAAGGTAAAACGGGACTGTCGAGAGGGGAGGAGATGTAAATGTTTCAGGTGTGGTCTTTCCTCCCTAACTTTAGTTACGTTACACATAACACCATAAAGTGAGAATGGAGACGAGAATGCAAACCTTTACTTTGAATTAAGATTTCATTGTCATCAAATCCATTCATATTGTCATAAAAATGTTGTTATTGTATGAGAATGTATGATATTTATACCTACTCATCATATCCACGTTGGGCGGCAATATGAATGGGCAGAAGTCCAGCTTTAGTGGGTTTGTTGGCGTCTGCTTTCTGATACAGCAGGACCTCCACGATCTCCCCATGTCCGTTCTTACAGGCTTCATAGAGCGGCGTGGCCCCATCGTTCGCCTGGCTGTTAACGTCTGCACCTGTATCATCAAAGGGCCCACATAAACATTTTACATGAAACAGTTTCTAAGGACATTCTTTAGCATTTAGGATGTACGACTTCAGCGGCATGACATTCGGTTTAATTAACACAATCACACTGTCTTGCGGGAGAAAAAACACTATAAAAAAAAATATATATATATATACAGTGGGGAAAAAAGTATTTAGTCAGCCACCAATTGTGCAAGTTCTCCCACTTAAAAAGATGAGAGAGGCCTGTAATTTTCATCATAGGTACACGTCAACTATGACAGACAAATTGAGAAAAAAAAATCCAGAAAATCACATTGTAGGATTTTTAATGAATACGTATTTGGTCACCTACAAACAAGCAATATTTCTGGCTCTCACAGACCTGTAACTTCTTCTTTAAGAGGCTCCTCTGTCCTCCACTCGTTACCTGTATTAATGGCACCTGTTTGAACTTGTTATCAGTATAAAAGACACCTGTCCACAACCTCAGCTGGGATTTGAGCTGGGACCAAAGTAACAAAGCCTACCATCAGTAACACACTACGCCGCCAGGGACTCAAATCCTGCAGTGCCAGACGTGTCCCCCTGCTTAAGCCAGTACATGTCCAGGCCCGTCTGAAGTTTGCTAGAGTGCATTTGGATGATCCAGAAGAGGATTGGGAGAATGTCATATGGTCAGATGAAACCAAATATAACTTTTTGGTAAAAACTCAACTCGTCGTGTTTGGAGGACAAAGAATGCTGAGTTGCATCCAAAGAACACCATACCTACTGTGAAGCATGGGGGTGGAAACATCATGCTTTGGGGCTGTTTTTCTGCAAAGGGACCAGGACGACTGATCCGTGTAAAGGAAAGAATGAATGGGGCCATGTATCGTGAGATTTTGAATGAAAACCTCCTTCCATCAGCAAGGGCATTGAAGATGAAACGTGGCTGGGTCTTTCAGCATGACAATGATCCCAAACACACCGCCCGGGCAATGAAGGAGTGGCTTCGTAAGAAGCATTTCAAGGTCCTGGAGTGGCCTAGCCAGTCTCCAGATCTCAACCCCATAGAAAATCTTTGGAGGGAGTTGAAAGTCCGTGTTGCCCAGCGACAGCCCCAAAACATCACTGCTCTAGAGGAGATCTGCATGGAGGAATGGGCCAAAATACCAGCAACAGTGTGTGAAAACCTTGTGAAGACTTACAGAAAACGTTTGACCTGTGTCATTGCCAACAAAGGGTATATAACAAAGTATTGAGAAACTTTTGTTATTGACCAAATAGTTATTTTCCACCATAATTTGCAAATAAATTCATTAAAAATCCTACAATGTGATTTTCTGGAATTTTCTTTCTCATTTTGTCTGTCATAGTTGACGTGTACCTATGATGAAAAGTACAGGCCTCTCTCATCTTTTTAAGTGGGAGAACTTGCACAATTGGTGGCTGACTAAATACTTTTTTCCCCCACTGTATATATATAATAAATTCAACCTGGAATATGATAGAAGTCACATATCTAATAAAGCTGATGACAAAAGCTTTTATCTGCACTTGACCAAATCAGCTCACTTCCACGTCCAAGCCAGCATACTGGTTACCGTTGGTGATGAGGAAGTTCAGGACCTCAACATGTCCGGTCTGGGCTGCAGCGAACAGGGGAGTGATACCGTACATGTTGACTGGACTGAGCTTGGCCCCTGCCCTCATCAGAAGCTCACATATCTCCACGTTGTTGCGGATCACAGCCTCATGGAGGGCGGTCCAGCCCAGAATACAATGCTTGTTCACCCCGGCCCCGAAGCCCAAAAGCATTGCCACCATCTCAACATTCTCTCCCTCGCAAGCTTTGAATGGGACATATGGATGGATTGTTAGAGAGTGGGAGAGAAACAGTGAACATGTGTTGTTGAATATAGCTCGATCATCCTATGGCTATAAATCTGAATGTTAAAAAACAAACTGAGCTAGATTGAGGCTGTCCTAATATGGACACCGTACGTTTAGGGTATGTGACTTTATAACTTCACATTACCCAAACTTGCAACCATTGTCTCAAAGAATGGCATGCGGGTCTCCTTTGTGCATAGGTATGTTACCTTTATATAGAGGGGTTTCCCTGTCCTTGTCGGCGATGACGGGGTTAGCTCCTTTCTCCAGCAGGCACTGGACACAGGCCACATGTTCAGCCACCACAGCTAGGAAGAGAGGAGTCTGGTCCTTCAGCGTGCGCCTGTTAATCACCTCAGGATGGGCTGGATTCAATGACAGGACAGGATTAGCAGTTGCAAGTGTGATCATAATGACAGTTTTAAATGTTGGTTGTTTAAGAATCACATGGCATTGATAGTGAAAAACTAATTTAGACATTTAGACAATGCAGAATTGAGGAGATTTTATGAAATCAGACCGTGTCAAGTCAAATACCTGGCATGGCACTTGATAAACACTGCAAACTTTAAACCTTCATACATTATCGCTAGCCTATCCCTCATAGGTATACAGCAAGAAGTGGTTTTGAAATTAATGCAGTAAGTATTGTGAGTTAAAAGGTCTCTTTCGACACTAGTGCTAATTTATTTACATTCAATGCCTGGTTGAAGGGTTCTAAAAACAGATGCAACAGGAATTCCAAAAATAGTATTGATATTTCATAGGGTGTGGGGATTGGCGCAATCCGAAGACTTCGTGGCTCACCTTCCAGTAAGATATCAAGGCATTCCTTCTTCCCGTGGGTTGCAGCCTCGTGCAGAGGTAGCCACCCCAATTTATTCCTCTCCGTCAGGTTTCTCCCAGTCTTCACCATCTCCGTCAGAGCACCCACAGCACCACCCTTAATGGCTTTGACGACTGGGTCAACCAGCCTCAAAGAGAATAGAGAAAATGAAGCACAGGTTCTCTACTTGAGTTGTATTCAGTAACAAGTGATGCAAATAATAGAACATAGACATTTGCAAACAGACAAACACTTTCACACTCGTAGAAGAGCAAAGTACCTAATCTGGCACATTTTGTTAGTTCCGTTTTTTCAGTTCACAGACGATTGACCATCAAACATTGATTTGACAATTGTTACTCCCTTGCTGATGTGGGGCTGGGTATTGAAGAGGAGTTAAGTGCTATGTTAGCTATGAAACTTTCAGTAAACAGATCCATGGTCAGGTGATTACTCCTTCATGGTGTACTTAAAATACTGTAGTATGGGAACATCCTATAGTAATGCTGAGGCATACTCACTCTTCAGGCTCTGCAGTGAAATACATAGACCCATCGTAGCGTTTCCATGCCACACAGCGCTTCCCCTCATTGCTGGTGAAGGTGTAGCTTCTGGTTGCGTCTGATGAAGGCACGTTCTGTAGATAGTCGACTTTCATTATTTCCTATCGAAATGAAATCAAATGAAAACATTAGAATTAAAACTTGTTTTAGGGGTGATAGGCATTCGCAAAGTGAATGACCAATGATGGAAACCCAACAAGTATCAAATTATTAGTGAGTGGGTTAACATTGGTTCAATCCATTAATACATCCAACAGTCAATGTCTAATTCAAACCTAGGACAACAGCAAATCTTGTATGCTAACCACCTCACAAGATAAACATGACCTATTCAACATGGTTAGCAGATTGATACCTTTGAAATATTACACCTTGAAGGACATGTACTTGCCATTCAATTGGACTGCCACCGAATTAAATTTCACCGTAGTTAGCATGATCCCAATGACTTACAACACAACCTCTAATAACCCCACAAAGACCTGGCTCGGACTCAAGTGCAGTGCACAAAGTAAGCCCAGTTGAGTTCATTAGCAATTAAGCAAAACGCTGATTTAATAACTTTTGAATGGCTGCCAAGAGCCTAATCCTATGCACCTGGTAGATGGTCTCTAACACACAATAATGCGAGCGTGCACACACACACACACACACACAGACACACTTCCTCTCTCCCTCTCTCCCTCTCTCACACACACACACACACTTCCTCTCTCCCTCTCTTACACACACACACACACGCATCACAACCTTCAGTGAAGACACAGGAGATGCTTGACTCTCCAACCTTCTGGTGATAAAATTAGGGCCCAGGCAACAGGAAAACAAAAGCACAATAACACTGTGACAAGACGGGGGTCAACAACAACCTCCTCAAGTATCTGAAAGCAGCCTCATCATCAACTCGGTGGAATAATCAAACCACAGGAGGCATGTATAGTAAAGATAGTAACACACAGGTATGTATTGTAAAGGCACAGTAAAACATAATCTGTGTTACAATTCAGCAATGTATTTTGCCCATCTGGGTGTGCGTAATAATTCCTATTTTCAAAATTGTACTAGACAAATATATGCTAATGCTTGACATGACTGATGCTGTGAGTGAAATAAAACCTTTGCTCAAAGAAGGAGCATGGTTGTATTATTGCTCCATGAAAGTCTACTGTGTGGTAAGCATTTTTGAGTGTGATTTACCATAAAATCTCCTTCAGGTAATGGTTTCTAAATAGTTTGAACTTTCATGGTTTCTCAAACAGTTTTTACCTAATCACTTTAAGGAGAATGGGGAAAAAGGTGCAGTGCAACAAAAAACAACAATCATGTGAGGTGTGAACAAAATATAACACTAATTGAGGCATCATCATACACGAATTATATGATAGTTCAACCACATGTGCAATTATATGATATATATGTTCAATTATATGAATGCAATTATATGAATTATATGATAGTTTGACCACATTTGCAATTCAATTGTTATCTCTACATTAGTGCAGTATAATAAGGATTTCACCAAACAATCCAGAATGTGAAATTACATAGATATGTCTTACACTCAAGTAAAACCAAACAACAGCAACGTCACATCAATCCACATCTATTGTGTGTTATCATCTGTAAAATTCACTGGAGAGAATCACAGAGGAGCATTTAAAAACAATATATCAAAATGCATGGATATAAAACGTCAGCTTCCTAACTTACCGTTATTAGTTGCTGCTACTTAGTTGAAATGAGCTGTGAGCTAGTATAGACAGAGTCAAAGGGGATCCTAATAAATACTCAATTCTGTGGCGTTCCTCAGTTTGGACAGAGTGGACCACTGTGCTGGAAGTGGAACAAGACTCCCGTATGTCTTACGGTATATGTGCTGGACGGATCACATGTGATGGATTATACAGAAAAGGTGGGCTCTGTTTGTGTGTTCATCTGTCAATCAACAGTTGATTATTAGTTTCCTTTGCCTTGACAGGTTTTGCAATTAAATACAGTACTAAGTTTATAATGCTGAACAATGTAGATCTCAGTCATGAATACAGAATGGCTTGCTTCTCAGATGTGTTTCAAGACTAGAACGGCTACCTCTACCTACCATATGGATGTTTATCTAATCTAATGAAGGATCATAATCTAATTTGACAACAATCCAAGATAAAAGATAACCCACAATGTAGATTATTATTTATGGAAAAATGTGGGCCATCATAACATGGACAGTACATTGCATGAATAATGCACATCATTGGGTTGTGTGGTACAGCCATGCTACAGTCTAACAATATAACTACAGTAAAGAAAGGTGCTGTGAAATGTGTTGTTTACATGGTCAGCCATAGTAGTACGGCGCTCTGTGAAGTTATTTGGCGCCCTCATGAGGAGCTTGTCTGAAGTGAAGTACAATTCCAATCAACAATTATTATTTATCAAGGAATGCTGGACACATAAAAGTGGAAACACATAAACATGGAAACTATGTAGTTATTGCACATCCCAATGAATACAATTGATGAGTACTTTTTGGAAATTTAAATTACTGGACAAATTGACTATTGGATGATTGATGATCAATCATACCCATATTTACATTTACATTTTAGACATTTAGCAGATGCTCTTATCCAGAGCGACTTACAGTTAGATATTAAGGAAAACCCATAGAAAAAATATAATGTTTATTTTTTTCAAAATAAAAAATAGCACAAGATTTGATTGTTTCCATGACCGGAAATATACCCAATTATTAGACAAATATTGACCCTTACCACAGAGGTCATAAAAAATACTGTAAATATTGCAATTGGAATCTCTTTAGGTAAATCAACAACAAATTACATCTTCTGCTTTGCTCTTGTCACCGTCTGACATGAAAGATTAACTTATGTGCATAGACAGAGAATGAATAGAACTGATTGACTTGACGAACTGATTAACGAACAATCACCTACTATGAACTGAGCAGAGACTCTATTATGAATGATTGATTAACTAATGTGATAAACTACCCACTGGGCACAGACGTCACATCAACGTTTAGTTTTGATTTGTCATCTAACGTGAATTCATGTCATGCTGAAGTAGAACATCCGCCAGCTAAACCAGCAGCACCCCATCAGCCTGCAATGAGACAGCCTCCCTGCCCTTCAGGAGCAGGTACAGGTAACTGCCAAAATAAAGGAAACGCCAACATAAAGTGTCTTAATAGGGCATTGGGCCACCACAATCCAGAACAGCTTCAATGCACCTTGGCATAGATTCTACAAGTGTCTGGAACTCTATTCGAGGGATGCGACACCATTCTTCCACGAGAAATTACATCATTTGGTGTTTTGTTGATGGTGATGGAAAATGCAGTCTCAGGCACCGCTCCAGAATTTCCCATAAATGTTAAATTGGGTTGACCTCTGGTGACTGAGACGGCCATAGCATATAGTTTACATCGTTTTCATGCTCATCAAACCATTCAGTGACCACTTGTGCCCTGTGGGTAGGGGCATTGTCTTCATATGGAACCACACCTGTGTGGAAGAACCTACTTTCAATATACTTTGTATCTCTCATTTACTCAATTGTTTCAATTATTTTGCCAGTTACCTGTCCCACTACACTTCCTTTCCTCGTACTGCCTCCACCAGGGCCTGCTGTTAGGGAGGTGCCACCTGTCTCACTTCCTGCTCTCGCATTCCCTGTAGGTCCACCTGTACCATCCGCTGTAGAGCCCCCTGTAAGGCCCCCTTTAGCACCCTGTGTAGAGCCCCCTGTAAGGCCCCCTTTAGCACCCTGTGTAGAGCCCCATGTAAGGCCCCCTTTAGCACCCTGTGTAGAGCCCCATGTAAGGCCCCCTTTAGCATCCTGTGTTGAGCCCCCTGTAAGGCCCCCTTTAGCACCCTGTGTAGAGCCCCCTGTAAGGCCCCCTTTAGCACCCTGTGTAGAGCCCCCTTTAAGGCCCCCTTTAGCACCCTGTATAGAGCCCCCTGTAAGGCCCCCTTTAGCACCCTGTGTAGAGCCCCCTGTAAGGCCCCCTTTAGCACCCTGTGTAGAGCCCCCTGTAAGGCCCCCTTTAGCACCCTGTGTAGAGCCCCCTGTAAGGCCCCCTTTAGCACCCTGTGTAGAGCCCCATGTAAGGCCCCCTTTAGCACCCTGTGTAGAGCCCCCTGTAAGGCCCCCTTTAGCACCCTGTGTAGAGCCCCCTGTAAGGCCCCCTTTAGCACCCTGTGTAGAGCCCCCTGTAAGGCCCCCTTTAGCACCCTGTGTAGAGCCCCATGTAAGGCCCCCTTTAGCACCCTGTGTAGAGCCCCATGTAAGGCCCCCTTTAGCACCCTGTGTAGAGCCCCATGTAAGGCCCCCTTTAGCACCCTGTGTAGAGCCCCCTGTAAGGCCCCCTTTAGCATCCTGTGTAGAGCCCCCTGTAAGGCCCCCTTTAGCATCCTGTGTAGAGCCCCCTGTAAGGCCCCCTTTAGCACCCTGTGTAGAGCCCCCTGTAAGGCCCCCTTTAGCACCCTGTGTAGAGCCCCCTGTAAGGCCCCCTTTAGCACCCTGTGTAAAGCCCCCTGTAAGGCCCCCTTTAGCACCCTGTGTAGAGCCCCCTGTAAGGCCCCCTTTAGCACCCTGGTGTAGAGCCCCCTTTAAGGCCCCCTTTAGCACCCTGTGTAGAGCCCCCTGTAAGGCCCCCTTTAGCACCCTGTGTAGAGCCCCCTGTAAGGCCCCCTTTAGCACCCTGTGTAGAGCCCCATGTAAGGCCCCCTTTAGCACCCTGTGTAGAGCCCCCTGTAAGGCCCCCTTTAGCACCCTGTGTAGAGCCCCATGTAAGGCCCCCTTTAGCACCCTGTGTAGAGCCCCATGTAAGGCCCCCTTTAGCACCCTGTGTAGAGCCCCCTGTAAGGCCCCCTTTAGCACCCTGTGTAGAGCCCCATGTAAGGCCCCCTTTAGCACCCTGTGTAGAGCCCCCTGTAAGGCCCCCTTTAGCACCCTGTGTAGAGCCCCCTGTAAGGCCCCCTTTAGCACCCTGTGTAGAGCCCCCTGTAAGGCCCCCTTTAGCACCCTGTGTAGAGCCCCCTGTAAGGCCCCCTTTAGCACCCTGTGTAGAGCCCCC